AATCTGAAAAGAGCTTCACTGAGTGAGAAGGAGTGGAGCTCACCAGACAGCTAAGTTTCACTTTTACTTTCACTTTTGGTCTGTTACTGCCGAGAGCCTGCAGGAGTTATGGGTGGGATGTGGGGGGAGGGGGTGCGCTCTGCCATGAGGAAGTTTGGCTTAAAGACATGTCCCAGAGGCGTTTCTGGTCCCCACCTGTCGTTTTCCTCCTCTGCATGGCTTCCAAAAAACACTGCAGGATTTCTCAAATATGCATGAATGAGTCAAAGCAAGGCTTTGGGCATGTTTTTTTTTATGAGAGTACAACATTATAACATGATATAAAACTCAAAAAAGTTGATTTTACATGATCTTGCCCCTTTAAACAATGCTAATTAGGTCATCTGATTATAAAACATGTGCTCAGTGATTACTATAAATGATTGATAATGGTTTTTATGCTGTCCCAAATGATTTTCTTTTAAAGTTTAGTCATTTAACAAATCACGTTCCTTTCCACAGAACTCACCTGGACTTGGCTCTGGATGTGAACCCAGATGAATCTGGTCTAGTGGATGCATCATCCCTGCGACGTCAGGTACTCTGTCCCACTTGCTTAGTTTAGGTCTGTGTTTTTATACAGTCATGGTAAAAAGTAAACTAACAAAGTGTGATTTGTTGAGTTTTTCATWCAATGAATGCTAGAAGTTATTCTGAGGACCCCATCTAAAAACTGGACCAGTTCAGTCTCATTTCTCTAAGCACCAGTGTGATTTATCATGTCCCGTTGAGTGCAGAACAGCACAGATGATTAAAACTTTAACACAAAACTGCAGACAATAAAACAAAAATGAGCTGACACATATTACCTTAGTGTTAAATATCCCTATGAGAAAACATGAAGCCTGTTGACAGTCAGCACGTCTTTCAAACTTAAACCTTTTTTTTTAGTTTCACCAAATCTGATGAGACAAAAAGTATAAATTCACCTACACTCCTAATCGAGTCCCTAAAAACCACTCATMATAAAAGTCTTGATTCAATGAAAAGGACGAACGCAGGGTTTTTGTGCATGAGGCACATGAGGACTGCTCACTTTTCTGACTCATAAAGGAACTGAGAATGGCTGCTAACTTTGTGAGGCTTTCTAGAAACTCCTTGAACATCAGCTGGTTATTCAGTCAGATGCCACCTGAACAGTGAGTTAGTGAATTTTTTTATATATATATTTTTTGTCATTATCCAGATTTTGAAGCTCAACAGGCGTTTGCAGCTACTGGAAGAAGAGAACAAAGAGCGCTCCAAACGAGAGGTGGTCCTGTATTCTGCCACTGTGGCGTTCTGGCTCATCAACACCTGGATCTGGTTACGTCGCTGAAACTGAACAGAACAAGTCCCCAAAACACTGGAAGCTGAAAGCAAATCCTTGTTGAGTCTTTTTCAACTCCTGAGCTTAGTCAGGGCAACATTCATAAGTCACAGAAATCCTCCAGAACGCAAACTGTGTTTGGGATTGATGTACTGGTTTTAAGTCATTAATCAGGGAGGACCTGAAGCATTGTTTACTGTTAATGTTATGTAGATTCACACTTCTTTGTGGTCACATGAGCAAACTCTGAGCAGCAGTGGACACAYTTAAAAATCGCTCCAGTAAATCCTGGTGTTTAGTCAGATATGTGTCTATGTCTGAGGCTGTGTTAAATCCTCTTCACACTGCCTACTAGTGTCACAATTCAAAGTACTGCAACAGTCAGGTAGTAAATAAGTCTCATTACCTGAGCTCTGCTTCAATTCTCCGATTCAGTGATTTCATTAGGTTTTCATGTTCCGCAGAAGCCCGTTAAAATAATATAACCTATGTATTCAAACCAGGTGTGTTGGAGCAGAGAAACAAGTAAAACCTGCAGGATGGTGGCCCTCCAGGACCAGGACTGGACACCCCTGCCTTAAAACATTCAGTTTATTAGCACAGGAGGTCCTTCTCCACGTGAGAACATCATGACAAGTCCTGATCTCACAGTGGTTTTCTCAAAAACAGGAAAGTACACACAAAAAGATCTTTTCTTGTTTGTTTATTTATTAGCAGCTCTGATTTGATGAGTTTTTCTGTTGAATAGAAATTAAGATCATATTTGATTTTTTTTCTCTTGTTAAAGTGCAGGTTAGTTTTACATTTTGTCTATTTATGCAAATATAAGTTATTTTTTAAAATACGATCTGTTTTTCATTCTTAGGTGAAAGCTGGTAGACAAAATCAAATCAGACTGTTTCTCTCCACCTCACAAAAAGCACTGATGATTTACAGCCCTAACATTCCTGCAACAAAGAGTCAGTAAAAAAAACTGAATTTGACCGCAGGAACAGGCAGTTTAAAGGGCCTCTGACATGCTTATCCTTTAAATACAAAAAGTCAAAGAATTTATATTTAAGGTTAGCATAATACACATMATTTTACCCATTTTGTCTTGTAACTGGCATATTTTCTCTTGAACTTGGCTCATCAAAGTGAAACAGGAAGTGACATCAAAGGGGAAAGAATAAAGGGGGAAAAAAAACTCTAGTCTTTGTTTATTAAAACTGTCTTATTTAAACTCTTCTTTAAATCTGATAGTGACTCAAAATAATCTAAAGAAACATCAGATTCTTCTCTAATTATTGTAGCATCGCTCTGTTTTCATGCAGACATTCCCCTTTGACATCACTTCCTGTTTCTTCACATGCAAATATCTCAACAACTGTTCATCTCAACGGCGTGAAATTTGTTTTGCAATATGTTATCAATGTTATCTTTCCAAAAATGCGTTCACATTTCTTACAAAAATTTGATGTCACAGGCACTTTAAAGGTAATGTGCAACAATAACAGTCTGCAGTGAAATTTATCTGTGTGCTTACCTAAGAGGAATGTAGTATTTTTTTTTTTTACTGTGGTACTACTTAAAAGGATCTGATGGGTTCTTTTACCTTTAGCCTTTACTACCATGTGTTCAGTTTACATAATGTTGGATTATAGTGGATTGTTTTTCTCTCAGATAATTAATGAAATCACTTCTTTTGTAGGAACCAGCTGCTTCTTTTGACCTCATTTCTTCCATCCGTTCACTTATTTCTGCCACAAAATCTGGCAGGTTTAAATTAGTCATACGAAATTTTACCACTAGATGTCAGTAATTGTTCAATGTTGTACCTCTAAAAAATGTGGTACTTTGAAATGCATACATCATAGCACAAACAGAGCAGTTTACCAGACAGTAAATTTGTCAAATTTAGTGGTTGGAACTTGTTTGGATGCAGATTTTGCAACACAGCCCCACAAAGGAAACGTATTGTAGGTTTAAAATTCAGTCAGATATCAGATGAATTAAATGTCACAGACTTTCTCTGCATTTTATATAATTTACTTGCATTTAAAGTGCCTGTGACATGTATAAACTTCAACTGCAAAAAGTCAAAGAAAACATCTTAATATTTAAGAAACTTGCCATAATACAAATTATATTTATTCATTTTGTCACATAACTGGCATATTTTCTTTTGAATTTGGCTCAGCCTAAGTGAAACAGGAAGTGACATCAAAGGGGAACTCTGAGAAATATAACTCTGGTCTTTGTTTATTGAAACAATATTATTTAGACTTAAACTCTTCATCTCTCTGATAGAGACTCAAATTAATGTAAAAAAATCAGATTCTTTACAGTCTGTTTTGTTAGCTGTTGTAAACAAAGCTCTGTATTGAGACATTCCCCTTTGACATCACTTCCTGTTACTTTACAGGCAAAAATCTCAATAACTGTTCATCTCAGTAACATGAAATTTCTTTTGCAATATGGTATCAATGTTACCTTTCCAAAACTGCATTTATATTTATTACAAAAAAATTATTTCACATGGACTTTAAGGACAAACTAAACACTTTAAATAATACTAGAAAGAACAGAAGTCCAGGATAAATTGTCAAAATGACAAAACTTCGACTGATGATCCATTGTTTTAGTCATATCCCAAGGAGAACATTATTCGTCCATCTGTCCTGAAACTGGTTCAACCCAGTATTTTACTGGCTGCAAAAGTTGGAGAGTTGTTGGTGACTAAACACTGTGACAGTTGCAAGAAGATACTCCAATTTTCACCAGGAATTCTCAAATATGTTGCATGAGTGTCTCAAGAATGTTGCCAGAAGTGCAACTAATGTAAAAACAACAACAGCAACAGTAATCTGGGACAGCTGTGAATCATTGCTGGTAGGTATTTATTAATCCAGATTTTGTGTCAAAAAATGCTCTACATCCATTAATCTTCATGATGTTGGAGTGACTCAATAAACAACAAATAGTTTGTCTTAAAGTCCATGCAGACAAGGATTTACTTGAGTTTTGTGTTTTGGAGTTGAGCTGACTTGAGTTAATTGGTTCTGAAAAGTGTCAAAACATTCTGAGTAAATCTACAGACGCCATCAGATTTGCCCTGAATGTTCAACATTAATCCCGAGCTTTTGTGCAAAGTACATATTGTTTAAATGTTATTTAAGTTTTTTATTTATGTGACAAACAGGAATATTCACTGATGGTATTCTTAAGTTTAAAACTGATGTGTTTTTATTTATTCAGTGTATGTAAATATTGTTGCTGTAATAAATGCTGGCTGTTCATTACTTCCTGGTTGGTTTGTGGAGGACTGACTTCTGCTGGTACAAGTATTTGCAAGTGCAACTCGTCAAATAAGGTTGTGCTCATTTGGCATGTGATGACATACTGTGGCACAGCAATAA